TACACTGTCCCCTTTTCCTTATGAATCAGGGTGAAGTCTCTCTCAGGGAGGAGTGATAGGGAATGGCAAAGGATACACTGACAAAGGAGATTAATCAGAATTGGCTTTGACAAGCACTGTGGCAATGGGACAATTAAAACAGACTTTCAAGTGGGAAAAAAAAGAGGAATGAACTGGGGGGTGGGGGGTAGAGAAAATAGTGCAACAGTGAATGAATGGAAATCTAAAATCTCTGTAAATGTTCATTAAAATTAATAAAATTTAAATTAAAAAAAGAATGATACATACTGTGGACAGCAGTCCAGTGTGACCTTACAACTGCATAGATAATAAACTATGGATGATATTTCAAGAAACAGGGATTCTGGAATTCTTAACTCTGCTCATGTGGAATCTATACACAGACCAAAAGTCATTCTAACAGAATAAAGGAATAATGCATGATTAAAAACAGAAATTATTTGCATCAGAATTGCATCCACTTACCATACCTTTTCAATCTGCAGCATATACTCTGAAAAGTTGAACTATATGAAGGAGAATGTGGCATCAGGATTGGAGGAAGACTCATCAAGAACAATATACATGTAACAAACTTATTTATAGAAAACAAAGACCTGAAGCAGATCAAAGACTACAGCCTTCAGTATGGATTACAACTCAATACAAATAAAACAAAAATCCTCACTGGAACAATAAGCATTGTGACAGACAGTGAGAAGGTTGGAGTTATCAAATGTACCTGGATCCACAATCAGTGTCCATAGAAGCATCAAGAAATCAAAGATGGGTTGAATTGACAATATCTGTTGTCAAAGAAAAAGGATGCCACTTTGATGATTAAGATGCACATGACCCAAACCAGAGTGGTTTCAGTTACCCCGTTTACCTGCTAAAGTTGGACAAATATTAATGAAGACCAAAGAAGCAGCAATACCTGTGAAATGTGGTGTTGGAAAGAATACGGAATATACTAGACACTGCTACAAAGAAAAATGAATGTATCCTGGGCAAGTGCAGCCTGAATGCTCCTCGGAACAAGGAGGGTGAGGCTTCCTCTCTCATGCTTTGAGGACGTTATCAGGTGGGGCTGGCGCCTGGAGAGGGACACAGTGCTGGTAAAGAGACAGTCAAAGAGAAAGGGGCAGACCCCCAACCAGATGGACTGGCAGTGGCTACAACGGGCTGGAGCACAGGGACACTGAGTGGAGCTGGACCGGCAGGCAGCACACGGGGTCCCTGTGAGCTGAAGCTAACTCGGGGTACCTCAGAACATTAGACACCTGGCTCCTGCTCAAGTGTTTCATGAAGCCTGGATTGTTTCCATAACCCAGTCACTGAGCCCATGACTTTTTGTTCAGTTCATGAAATTTAACCAAGTAGTAGACGTAACATCCAAGACAGGATCTACATGGAAATACACTGTCGAGAACTCAGAGAAGAGGAACTCAGTGTAGGCTCACCTTTCTAGCACCCTTCATTCCCGTCACGTACCCCACAGGTGTGTGCTTCCACCATAAAGAAAGGAACTAATGAAAAACATACAGCCTTGGGCAAGTATGTAGTTCAAATACACCAGCTGCTCCATGCGATTGACGGCCTCTGAAAACACGCTGGAGGTCCAGCTTTAGTCAGTTCCGACTCCATGGACATGTTTAGCTATTTCTATACCAAATCAAATGAGATTCAAGAAAATTGCTATTTATACTAAGCTCTGTTTTTAGCTAGAAGTTCAAGTTCATTAAATTAAACATATATAAAATGAAAAATTTTTATGAAAAATGAAAAGTATAGAAGTTTTTAAAAAAAGAAAATTACCCATAACCACCCAAGCCAAGGGAAGAACTGCTGGCAGCCAAGGTGGTGCTGGCTATGTCGTGGGCACCACCTTCACATGCAATATGTGTGGTCTGCTCAGCTCGACAGAACCCCCGTGGAAGAGCCCACAATGACTGTGGCGAGGGTTGAGTCCTGGCCTCTCAGAGACCTGCAGTGTAGACAACACAGCAGTGTGCACCCTCTCCACATCTCTCATAGACTCTGTTCAATGGCCTGCCATGACAAAATCTTGTAGACACAAAGGACAGTGTCTCCGGGAGCAAATGTTAGATTCTAATCAAAGAAAAATTAGGAGAAAGTAAAGAAAGCCTGACTCCCATGTAAGGCCTGCACTGCTGCTTAGGGCTTGTCCTGTGAGGCTGAATAATAATGAAGAGGCCATGAGCGACCTGTGAGCATAGCCACCTGTACTGGGAGAAGGACCCCCACAGTGCTCCTTAGAGGCAAGGAAAATGAAACTTCACCTCATGTACTTTGGTAACATTATCAGGAGGGATTGGTCCCTTGGAGAAGGACATCAAGTTTGGAAGAGGGTCAGCAAAAGAGGAGGATGTTCAATGAGATGAAGTTACATGGTTACTGCAACAATGGATGGGCCCAGGTACAGCAGACTGAGAATGTGCAGGACAGGGCAGGGCTTCCTCCAGTGCGCAAGGGGTCACTGTGAGCAGAACCGACTGGATGGGGCAGGGCTTCCTCCCATGTGCAAGGGGTCACTGTGCAGACCGAACAGGAGAGGGCTTCCTCCCGTGCACACAGGCTTCCTGAGAGCAAAACCGACCAGACAGGGCAGGACTTCCTCCTATGCACACGGGCTCACTGAGAGCAGAGCCGACCGGACAGGGCAGGACTTCCTCCTATGCACAAGGGGTCACTATGAGCAAGGTTGACCTGACGGGGCAGGGCTTCCTCCTGTGCACAGCGGCTCACTGAGAGCAGAGCCGACCAGGTGGCGTCTAACAACCACAGGCGTACTCCGCAGCCCAGGCCCTTGCTGGGTCAACAAGACACCATCTGTCTTGGCGGATTTACCAGCTCGTTCCTCTCATCTGCCAGGAGGGTATTTCTGTCTTCCAGCTTCCGTATCACTGAATTCAGCTCAGCAATTTTTAGTTGAAATCGCCTCACATCTCGCTCATCCATATGTTGATCCTAACCAGAATTGAGAAAAAAAAAAGTACTTGTAAGAAGCAGAACACAAAACCACCCTGAAGATGTTTCAATGATACCAAACACTTCAGAGACTTTCTTAGGAGAGGTGTCTGATAAGGTAGGTGAGGACTGTGGAGAAGATGCCTCTACCACGTGGGCTCCATGATGCTGAGCAATGTGGACAATACCGCAAGCAGAGGCAGCTTGCCAGTAGATTCCATATCAAAGGGAACAGGCACTTTCGACACCCCAGGCCTCCCAGCATCTCGTACAGCCCATGAGGATCTGTGCCCCCATCTCAAACTAACCCAGCATGAGATAGCCTGTTCCTTGAGGGCAGGGGCTGCTCACCACTGAAGGGTCAGGGGGTAACACAGAATCTACTTGAGCAGTCCCTGGCTTGAATATTTATTGTTGTTGTTATGTGCCGTTGAGTCACCTGCAACTCATAGCCACCCTACATACAACAGCCCTCAACCCTGATCTATCCTGTGCCAATCTTACTGTCTCTGATACCCACGCCATCACCCCAGTCACTGAATAAACCCATCTCACAGAGAGTCTTCCTCTCTTGCGCTGTCCCTCCACCCTCCCAAGCATGATGTCCTTCTCCAAGGACTGGTCTCGCCTTGCAACATGTCCAAAGTATGTCAGATGGAGCTTCAGAATCCTTGCCTCCAAGGAGCAGCCTGGTTTAACCTTCTCTAGGATGAAACTGTTCATTTTCTTAGCAGTCCATGGTATATTCAATACTCTTCTCCAGCACCACAGCTCAAAGGCATCAATTCTCCTTCTATCCTCCCTAGTCATTGTCCTGCTCTCTGATGCATAGCAAGTGACTGCAAAGACCATGGCCTGTATCAGGTGGACCTTAGTCTACAGAGTGACATCACTGCTCTTCAGTACTCTGGAGAGATCTCTAACAGTAGACTTTCCCATCACAATATGTCTTAATTTCCTGGCTGCTGGTACCAAGAGTGTTGACTGTGGAGCCAAGCAAACAAAGAATGAATGGGTGCTGCCCAGCCCCTCTGTGACTTTGTTACTCTCCAAACTGCCACCTGAAATGCTCTGCCCTTTTCTGCTGGCTGAACATCTGCTAATCCTGACAGCTCTGCCTTGAACTCATTTCCCTCACTAACTGGTCCTTTCTGGCTCCTGCCGCACACACACTCAGTTCTTCAACACTTTCTTCAACTGAACTCTGAGAACCCAGAAGGTAAAGATAATCAGCTTCTCATCGGTATTCTCAGAACAATGCATGTACCTGACATGTAATGAGTATTAGTCTATGTGGGAAGGAAGGGCTGATGGAGATAGGAGGAATGGGGAATGGAGGGATAGAGAGGGAATGGAGGGAAGGACTGGTGATGGATGGATGGGGTGGGGGGCGGTGGTTGGATGCGTGGTTTGGATGGGGGGGTTTCATGGATGGATGGGTGGATGGGTGGATTCTCAAAAGGATGGGTGAGAAGATGGGTGCATAGATAGGTGGGAGGGAAAGTGAGCGGATCATTGGTTGGGTGGATGTGTGTGCGTGTGTATCATTTTATGAACGGTGGGATGGATGGATGGGAGGATGGATGGATGGATGGATGGATGGATGGATGGATGGATGGATGGATGGACTAAAGGATGGTTTCTTGGATGGATAAGTGAGTAGATAGGAGAGTGGGTGGGTGGGCAGATGGATGGTTGGGTGGATGTCTGTGTATGTACAGATGGATTTATGAATGATCGGATGGATGGATGGATGGATGGATGGATGGATGGATGGATGGATGGATAGGCTGATGGTTTTTTTGATGGATGAGTGACTGTATGGTTGGGTGAGTAGGTGGGTGGATGGGTAGGTGGGTGGATGTCTCTCTGTGTGTATATGGACGGGTGGATGGATGGATGAGTGGGTGGGTGGGTTAGGGTGAGTGGGTGGGTGGATAGATGGTTAGGTGGATGTGTGGATGTGTGTGTGTGTGTGTATGTGTGTTTGTGTGTGTATGGTTTTATGAACGGATCAATGGATGGATGGATTTACAGATGGATGGGTGGGTGGGTGGGTGGGTGGGTAGATGCGTGCATGGGTTTATTGGTGGATTGATGGTTGAATAGATAAAGGAAGGGAACGATCTGAAGGACAGAAGGAAGGACTGATAAGGTACAGAGCAAGGGATGGCCTGATGGAGGAAGAGAGGGTTAGAAGGACTCATATATGAAGGAGGAAGTGGGGGAGAAAGGAAGACATGGAGGGATTGATGGGTGTAGGGAAAGAAAGGTGGGTGGATGAAGGAGAGATGGAGAGAGAAAAGGAGGGATAGAAGGATGGAAGATTGGAAAAACTGATGAATGGAAGGAGTTAGGAAAAGTGTAACTGAGGAAAGATGAAGAGAAGGACTGGTGAATGGAGGCAGGGAAGCACTGAAAAATGGAGAGATGGATGCATGGAAATGTGGATGAAGACCAGGGGAAGAAGAGTGGGGCAGGAGGATGAGTGAAGAAGTCCAAGGTCAGTTGGTTCGTAGAAAAGGCAGAAGTGGGCTGGTTGTTTGGTAGTAGCCTGTGAAAGCAGGACTGTGCCAGCCTACCTGGCTGCCCATTAGCTCCGCCATATCTCCGATGCCAGGCGGCAGCTCTTTCTTGGGGCTGCCATGGTGCCGTTCAGCCTCCTTGACCTGGACCAGCTGCTCATCCAGAGCCTCTTTCTGCAGCAGCAGCTTCTGGGCCTGGCCTGTCTGCACGCCCAGTTCCTTCTCCAAGGCCAAGATCACTCGGTCCTTCCCTTTAATCTCCTCCATCTGGAGACAAGAAAGAGCTGTTCAGTGCCAAGGGTCAGAGCTGGAGAAAGCTGAGGGCCACCTGTCATGTCCACCAGCCTTGGCACAGGCAGGTTAGAGCACCAGGAGAGGAGACCTGCCCCCTCACACCCCACACCTGCACACAGGTTTCAATATGGTTACCAATCTGAGAGCTCTAGGTGCAGCCATGTTCCCTTGAAAATCGACACCTGCTCAAGCCCCACAGCCTTGCTGTAGCCATGGAGCTGACCCCTCAGACTTTGAGGAAATAGACTACAATCCTGAGCTGTGGCCCTGCAGCCACCATCCTCCCAGCCCCTGACAGCAAAGGTCCCCCAGGGTTGTCAGTTCTCCATGTCCATTCCCACTGCCTCAGTTCCACAAGAGGCACAGTCCCTTTCTCCTCCCATTAGCACCTTGCAAAGTCCTGCTGCCACCAAAGCCAGTAGTTATGTCCATGCCTCCCTGTCTTTAAGGCACCTCCAGTAACTGGCATTGGCCACCCCTACAGCACTCCTCTTTCTCGGTTTAACGCTGCCCCCACCTGTGACTTCTCAGTCTGTTTCCCTCATAGTGTCTGCTTTGGCCACCATGAACATTTGGGGTCACCAAGCCTGGCCCTCACCTCACTTTCCCAACTCCCCCTCATTTCCTTGTCCATGTGCTCCCTCCTCCCAACATCCTTGCCCATGCTCCAGCTCCTGACCTGCGGTGGAATCATAACCCCCAACCTTACATCCTTGATGCAAAATGAAAGCTCCAAGTAGCTGCTTGACTCTCTCCTCATATTTCCAAGAACCTAGATTTTCACACACATGAACCCACACCGATCAACATCTCTGGAGGCATGTCCAGCAGCAGAGACAGGAAGCCCAGTGACCTTGGGGTGGCCAGATGGACAGAAGTTCACCAACACTGCCCAGCTGTCTACCTCACTCAGTGTGACACAAGCCAAAGAGAAACTCCCTAGTTATGCTACTCTGAGGACAGGCATTGCTCAAGATGGACACATGCTGGAGACACGTGCTCCACAGGGATCACTTGCAGGAGGAAGGCAGCATGCTGGGAACACAGAAAGGTCAGTGATGGGGGCATATTCTCCATGCGCTGGACTGGCACAGTCAGTGCAGGACAGGAGCATGTGGGTGGCCGTCTGGGTGAGACAGGACCAGACAACTGATTGTTCTGTGGTACACCGGTCCTGAATAGACATAGTCTACTTGATAGAAGCTAATAACAAATATGTCAATCCACTGACCTTAAGCAAAGCAGACTCTACCCTCCTCAGTATGAGTGGGCCTCCCCAGGCGGGCAAGGATCTTTGGAGCAGACAAAGGGCTTTCCTGAGAGAGGTGAATTCTGCCTCAAGACACACACTCCCCTCCCTGGAGTTGCCAGCACCCTGTCTGCCCCCCTACAGAGGCCCAGCTCACCTGTCCTACAATCACTTCAGAATAATTTCTTCTCCCTCAATCCCTCTTTCTTTAATAGTGACGATGACTGGCCTATATGACAGGTAAGCCTATTTGATAAATAAACAGCAGGCATCAGGCATGCACATTGAGACTAGGAACCCCAAAGCTACATCTGATCTATTCACCCATACGGTCCCCATGTGTGAAACAAGGACACAGGATTGTCCACCTGGGAGGAGCTACACGATTCAGAGCACTTCACAGTGTTCAGGAGAAACCTACACAGACACCAAGAAGCAGCTGTACAAGCAGAACAAGCGTGCTCTGCATGGCCCATAGTCAGGAAATGCTGAGCAAATCGTTCCAAAAGTCGGACTCTATGAAATGAATGTGGCACCAGGATCTGAGGAAAACTCATCAACAACTTGCATTGTGTAGATGACACAACAACATTGCCTGGGGAAACTGATGAGGATTTGGGGCACTTCCTGTTGTTTCGTTCTTGTTGTTACGTGCCATCGAGTCACCAGCGACCCTATGTACAACAGCTCTGAACCCTGTCTTGACCCAAGTCAGTCTCACAAATTCCAACACACCAACCCCCACTGCCTAGTTACTGCATCAATCCATCTCATCAGTGGTCTTCCCTCTTGTGCTGTTACTCACCTTTCCAAGTACGATGTCCTTCTCTAAGGACTGGTCTCTCCTGGCCATATGCCCAAAGTATGTGAGATGGAGCTTCAAAAGCCCTAGCCTCCAGGGAGAAACTGGTTTTCACCCTCTCCATAATAGACCTATTTGTTTTCTTGGCCATCAAGGTATGTTCAAGGTTCTTCTCCAGCACTACAATTGGAAGGCATCAATTCTTCTTCTGTCATTCTTAGTCATTGTCCTGTTCTCTGATGCACAGCAAGTAATTTTGACAACCATGGACTGGATTAGGCACACCTTAGTCCTTAGATTGACATCGTTGATTTTCAGTACTCTGGAAAGGTCCCTGACAGTAGATTTACCTAATTCAACTTTTTATTTCCTGACTGCTGGTGCCAAGAGTGTTGACTGTGGAGCTGAGCAAGCTGAAATTGTTAACAAACTCAATCTCTTCTCCATCTATCGTGCTGCTGCCAATTAGCCCAGTGGTGATAATCTTTGTTTTCTTGATGTTGAGCTTCAGTCCATTTTGAAGACTACAGTTCTTCTGCAGCAAGTACTCAAGTCCCTCTCAGTTTCAGCAAGCAAGGCTGTGTCATCTGCATAAAGTAGGTTGTTGAGTCTTTCTCCATTCCTGATGCCACACTTCTTCACATAAAGCCCTGTTTCCCAAATGATCTGTTTGGCATGTAACTTGAAAAGGTGTGGAGACAGGGTGCATCCCTGAGGCACTCTTTTCCTGATTTTAAATCATGCAGTATTTCCCTGCTCTGTTCTGAGGACTGCTTCTTGGTCCAAGTGTTTTGTTGTTGTTGTTGTTATGTGTCATCAAGTTGCCTGCAACTCATAGCAACCCTGTGTACAACAGCTCTAAACTCTGCTTTATCCTGTGCCAATCCTATCGTCTCTTGTGGATTCCCCAGAATAGTGACAGCTGGGCCACAGCTGAGATCAGAGTCCAGACAGGATTGGGCACCCTCTGCAGACAGAGAATTCCGCCCAGCTTCCCACGCGAGGGGATGCTGTGTCTGGACTTTGGTCTTAGTTTCAAGATTAAGCTTACCCATTGTTATGTTGGCAACACTTAAGTATAAGGAAAATATAGTCTCTGGAGATTGAACTTTTTTAGGAGGATTGACTTAAACTAAATAAAAACCATAGGGCACCAAGAGAGGGGCCTTTTCACAATGCTGAGCTGTGAGAGGACCTCTGCCTCGGCCTCCCCTCTTTTTCAGAATTCATTTCCTATGTCCCTGCTTTCTTTCTGTGTCCAGTTTGCAACAGTCTCTGACACACTCACTCCCATTACCCCAGTCACTGAATCAACCCATCTCTCAATGAGGGTCTTCCTCTCTTGCACTGCCCCTCCACCCTCCCAACCATGCCATCCTTCTCCAAGGACTGGTCCCATCTTGCAACATGTCCAAAGTATGTCAGATGAAGCTTCAGAATCGTTGCCTCCAAGGAGCAGCCTGGTTTAACCCTCTCTAGGACGAACCTGTTTATTTTCTTAGCAGTCCATTGTATATCCAACACTCTTCTCCAATACCACACCTCAAAGGCATCAATTCTCCTTCTATACTCCCCAGCTCTCTGACACATAGCAAGTTGACTGATTGCAAAGACCATGGCCTGGATCAGATGCACCTTAGTCTCCAGAGTGACACCATTGCTCTTCAGTACTTTGTAGAGGTCTCTAACAGCAGACTTTCCCATTGCAATGCATCTTTTAATTTCCTGGCTTCTGGTGCTAAGAGTGTTGACTATGGAGCTAAGCAAACTAAAGTTGTTAACAATCTCAATCTCTTCACCATCCATCCTGATGCTACAAATTGGCTCAGTGATGAGAATTTTTGTTTTCTTTATATTGAGCATCAATCCATATTGAAGGCTGTAGTCCTTGACCTTCTGTAGAAAGCACTCAGGTCCTCCTCAGTTTCAGCAAGCAGGGTTGTGTCATCTGCTTAATGCAGATTATTGGTGAATCTTCCTCCAATCCTGATGCCACACTTCTCCTCATAGAGCCCAGCCCTCCAGATAATCTGTTCTGCATACAGGTTGAAAAGGTATGGGGATAGGACACATCCCTTGCATACAGCCTTCCCAATTTTGAACCATACAGTGTTTCCTTGCTCTGTTCTGAGCATGATTAAATGTTCTGGGATTTTTATTCTTCTCAATGTTAGCCATAAATTGTTAACCACACAGTAAAATGACTTTGCATCGTCAACAAAGCACAAATAGAAACTCTGCTGGTATTCTGTGCCTTCACCCAGGATCCATCTGATATCAGCAATGATACCCCTGCGAAGGCTTCTTCTAAGCTTGAACTTCTGGAAGTTCCCTATCAAACTGTTCTAGTTGGTTTTGGATGATCTTCTGTAAGATTTTGCTTGCATGTAAAATTAATGATATTGTTCAATGCTGCCATGGTGATCTAAAAAAATTATTCCCATGTCCCACACCCCAGGGCTTGAATATGGCCTGATTTGGGAATGGATTAGATTTTACCATCTTTGTCTAAAGTCTTGTAAAAGGGACACAAAGCAGACAAGATGCAGAGGAGAGAAGGTGAGAAGCTGGAGCAGAGGGTGAATGAACACAGCCATATGCCAGGAACACCTGGAGCCAGCAGAACCTGGGAGACTCCCTAGAGCCTGGACCGTCCGAGGGGCATGTGCAGTGACTGCGGCTCCAGGCTGCTGATGCAATGAAGCTGAGGGGGAAGCGAAGCCGGTTGCCATGACAACATATATGCCTGTGAGGGGCCCTTATCTGTGGTCACAGGACCAGGATGGCACCCCCTGCTCCATCTTCTGAGTGGACACTGCAGGGAAAGTGCACCCAGCCAGGAACACGTTCTGGAGGCTGGTGCTTTGCACCGACACAAAACTAGGTCTTTCAGAGTTGGATTCCTGGCACATTTCTGTCCAG